ATAAGTAACGATTCTACCAACGGCACTACTGGGAAGAAACTTCACAAAACTGTCTTTCCGACTGTGCTCTGTGTCACTGCCAATCAGCTTATCAACGTTAGACATGGCTTTCTTGTATTCCGAAACTATTTCACCGTAGTCGCCATACTTGGTCAGCACATCGATGAAACTACGTGTACTGACAATATTTTTCTCCGTTATCAAGTTCGCATTCTAAATGTTTTGAAACCTGGTCCTTTGCCTTCTTTAAATCTTCCAATAGTTCATCACCGTTTTTCTTCACCTTTGCAATAATTTCTGAAACGTGTCTCGTCACACGGTCGACTTCAGCTTGGTAAAGTTTCTCCAAAGCAACCAGCTCACACGTGACCGACTCGGCAGACTTCTTACATTCTTCCTCTTTTTTGGAGCTTCTTCAATGGTTCTTTTAATTTTCACACAATTCCAGGCGCGACGTCCTCCAGGTAACAGTGATTGTTCTCAGGAACTCGATGACCAATTATTGTGCACTCCAGACATATCGGAACATCACACGAAGTACAGTGGTATTTAAGTATGTTACACTCGTGACCTTTCACGCTGCAGCACGTTCTGGGTCGGTTTTCTCTCATCTGTTCGGGACCTGTTTGTTTAAATTGGCTCATTGAGACGACTCGGTGACCTTTTGTCGCTTTGATTGCCGAGTGACATCCAGTGCACGCTGTACACAGATTCAAAGCACAATCAAGACACCGATTCATTGTGGGATTAGTTGTACAACCCTCGCATGAATCCCCTTCCACGCAACCATCACACGTCTTCACAAACTGGACCAACCCGTGGATTAAACTGTTTGAGCTTAGTTTGCCAACGCTTTCTTCAGGCGACCCATTACATGAAACAGGGCATCGACATTGTGGGCAAACCAACTCACCTCGTTTCGCCACCAGCTTTTCCAAACATTTCTCGCAGTAAGAGTGTAGACATGGTAACGTCTTAGCGTTTGTGTAGAAGTCCAGACATAGGCAGCACGTCAGAAAATCTCTATTGAGAAGACAGTCACTTGGGGGCTGAAAATCAATAAATACTAATTTTTTAAAAAAATCATCCGCTATACGTATATAAATAAACAAGTTGTGAAACATGGCACCTAGTAAATCGACACCCTGTCGGTTTCAAATTTCGATTTCTTACCTTAAAATGCGAAACAAAAATTTTAGAGAGGATCAGGTGTTAGGTTAATAACCATTGTTCATAATCGCTAACTTTGTTTTATTCAAAACTGCACAAATCCCGCGTTTTCTGGTGATATCCGACGATTTCATGAACGCAAATGGCCAGCAGCCAGAATCAAGGGGGATTCGCACAGAGTTCTAGGTAAGTCAAGGAAATACGCGCTGTTACATCACGCCTGATTGGCTGAAAATGAGTATGCGCACTTGATAACAAACATTGCTAATAATGTAATTATTCAAATAGTGAACATTATTCGTATTTGTACAACTGTGATTTGAGTAGTGTGGGGACATATTGATTGATTTAATTTGTATTTGTTTTATTATGAGGACTCGTACTCACGATATTAAAACGTTAAATACCATTGTACATTGATAGAATATATCAAATTTATTTAATCATTCATACACATAGCTTAAACATTGAGGTCTATATACATTCAAATAGACAATCTTAATTGTTATCCATATTACAAGTTAACATAACATTAGAATAAGAAATGAGACACACATGATATATAGTAAAATCACACCTGAAGCTAATGTATGTATATGATTTTCATAATAATACGGACGGAAAAAACAATTATTTCAAAATTAGTCAATGCAATCATAAAAGTATAATTATGTTTTTTAATTAAATTAAGTACACATTGATTCGATGCATATAGTCTATTTTGGTTTACATTACTAGTATGATTACTGCCAGTGGGTGTATGTGTCATATCAAACGATTGTAGTAATCCCCCAGTCTCTATATGTCCTAAAGACATCAATGAATTCATTGTTCCACGACGATGTTTGCTTCAATTACTATAGTATCATTTTTACAGTAACCATTATTGGGGTCAAGGACTGTCTGAAAAAATAAATCAAAAATGATTTCTTTACCTTATGTACAAAAGAATATCAAGCGGCATATATTTCAAACGCAAAGTAAACAAGTCATTATAAATGGCAACATTTTTAGCGTTTCATTTTGAACTTATTCAAAATCACTGAAAAAAGTATTGACTTTTACCCAACTTATTAACTGCCACTCACTATGACATTAAATATGATATAGTAAACACAAAATAAAAATAGAAGAGTCCGCACAGCACAGTTGTCTTGCGATGCATGCATTAAGGGAA